GACCGATTTCTTCCGTGACACAAAAAATTGCACGTTTCAGTCAGTGTTTCAGTCAGGCGCTGTAATAGTTTATGCACCTTAATGGTGCCAAATATTTCCCTCAGTTTCAGAGCGGACGTGCTGTTGAAAATGTTTTCGGAATCCTCCAGATTTCGGCTATTCCAAGGACCCCTAAGCGGGTCAGTGGAGCGCTCAAAGCTTCTCATTTACACGGTTTGTGTGAGTGGCTATAATCATTGTGATGCTTTCAGTAACATTGCAGTATTCAGTGTTACATAATGTTTTAGACGGACGGATCAGTCAAGAAGAATTGCTCAAAAGATATCCACAAGTGGACTCAACTGCTGATGAAATGAAGCTTTGGGGACACGCTTTCACGTTACTGATGATGCCCACAGGCAGCGCGATCAAATGACTCAGTACTTTGCTCGGAGGGACGGATATCAGTGACCGTCCACGTTTGTTATATACGTTATCTTTGTTGCTTGTGCATTTTTAATTCTTGCCATTTTATTGGTTTTTCAAGATCACGTCTGCCAAGCCTTATTCTCCTTTATCATGCTTATTCGAACATCATTTGGCTTTTGCAATTCTTGATGATATTCTATCGAAGCAGAAGCGCCAGAACTCCGAAAATCGTCTCGTCAGATCGAGATTGTTGAAGATGGATATAAAAATGAGAATCCTTGTTTCAACGCAGGTGGGATCGATAGCGCCAATGGTCACAGAGGTACGGGCGAACTTGTGGTATATCTGTATTCATCGTTGCTTTAAAGAAGCAAGGAAGAGCGCTTGACGTGATAAACGTGATAGAAGTTAAGGTAATGTTATCTATGTCAATGACATACCAATTTCAAACATATGTTAATTTGCTTTTTTAGGAACTGGAACTGCCAAAATCCTCAAAGATCTCGTTCCGCTCCATACGATTACCAAATTCTTCAAAGGTTTCGCCCAACGAGAACCTTTTAGAACCGACACAGATGGCTCCGTCACATCCGAAGATCTCTGCTCTATAAAATGTTGTTGTATAACATGTTCTATTTACAGTATTTATGCGAGGACTTTATTGGGGCTTTACTACCTTACGACTTTGTTGCTACTTTACTACTACTACTTTAGGACTTTAATTTACTTTA